CACCATCAGCTGGTGGATATTAAATATAATTAATAATCTGAAATTAAAGGCTACTGTCAGTAACAAAGACGTGAAATCATTGTTAGTTGTCATAGATACCCATCTCATTCACTAACCTCCTGTAGGGAAGGAAATCTGCATTCATAACCAGATCTGGCTTAGAAACTCCAGTTCCACAGCAATGCAGTTCACTCAATTAACTATTGAACTGATATAGTTTAAGGCCAATTAGGGGTGGCCAACAAATGCTTACGCATTCACTGATGGCTACATTTCTCGAAATTATTTTGGAAAATGTAAACGTCTTCCTTATTGCACTCCTCTGTTTATAAAGTCAAGGAGTCAATGCAATTTAAAAAAATACAGCCTTACTAACATTCTACTTCCAGAGTTTTGTGTTTGCAAACCACCCAGGCCTTAATCTTCCTGCATTTTCTTTAAAAGACCAAGATGAAAAGCAAAATACTATGGAAGACTAGCTAAAAGCAAGACTATATCCAGATAAGCAAGACTCCACGGATAAGACAAACTAAAATTAAGTTTTACAGCGAAAAGCTGGAGCTCAATTTCTGTGCACACATCACGGGCACTGCAGCAATCAAGCGTCACAAATTCTAAACAGAAAATTTAATTTTTACTGTATTGAAAAGCCAATTTTTTTTTAAACTTGTTAACCGTTTAGAATAGACTGAAGATGCCAATCTCACAGCTGTGTAGCGTATACAAATATTTACCATTAGTCTAACACCAAAACTTAAAAACGGCAGAAGCGCAACAGACAAACAATTCTTGGGGCCTAAGTTTCAAATGCCTGCCCTGTTGTCAATACTTGATTCACCTAAATCTTTGATTATTTTTATGTTTGGAAATGAGATTGGCAAGAGTTCCTTTAAAATTCATTTTGAGATGTGGGTGTCGCTGACTAGACCAGCATTTACTGCCTATCCCTAACTGCCCTGGAGAAGGTGCTGGTGAGCTGATACCTTGAACACTGTAGTCATACCCACAGTGCTGTTAGGAGGGAGTTTTACCATAAGAAATAGAAACAGGAGTAGGCCATCTGGCCCCTTGAATCTGTTCTGCTATTCAATAGGATTATGGCTGATCCAACAGTCCTCACATTCACTTTCCTGCCCTTTCCCCATAACCCTTGATTTCCCCAATTGAGCTTGAGGTTTTAGCAAAGATTTGTAGCTCGGGTTGTGGGTGAGGTTGTTGACTTGCTCGCCAAGCTAGCTTGTTTTTGTTCAGACTTTTCGTCACTATGCTAGGTAACACCATCAGTGAGACCTCTGATGAAGCCTGGTGACGAAACGTCTGAACGAAAACAAGCCAGCTCGATGAGCAAGTCAATAACTTCTCCCCTATTGAGCAAAACTCTCTCTCAACCTTAAAAAATACACAAGGACTCTGCCCCTACAGATCTCTGTTGCAACGAGCTCCAAAGAGACTCAACCTTCAGCAAAGACATTCACCATCACAGTCTTAAATGGGCACACATTTATTCTGAGATTATGCCCTCTGGTCCTAGACTCCCCCATGAAGGGAAACATTCTCTCAGCATTTACCCTGTAAAGCCCGTTAAGAATCCTATATGCTTCAATGACATCACCTCTCATTTTTCTATCTTCCAATGAGCACAGTCCTAACCCGCTTAGCCTTCACTCAGAAGGCAATCCCGCCGTACCAGAGATCATCCCAGTGAACTTTCTCTGAACCATCTCCAATGAAATGATACCTTACCTTCAATAAGAGGACCAAATCTGCTCACAGTACTCCAGATATGGTCGCACCAGCACCTTGTTCAGTTGCAGTAAGAGTTCCCTACTCTTACACTCCAATCCCCTTGAAATAAAGGCCAATATTCCACTAACCTTCCTGATTACCGGCTGCACCGGTGTGCTAGCTTTGAGTTTTGTGTACAAGTTCACCCAAGACACTATGTTGCAGCCTTTCTGCAGTTTTTCCCCATTTAAATAAAATTGTTTTTTTTCCTCCCTTTTGTTCCAGGATTTTGACGCAGTAAAAGTGAAGCAGCGGTGATATATTTCCAAGCCAGGATTAGAAGGGAACTGTGGGTGGTGGTGCTCTCATGCAGCTACTGTTCTGGTACAGGTAACAAGTTTGGAAGGTGCTACCGAAGAAGCCTTGGTGAGTCACTTCCAGCTGGCTAAGGTTTCACAGAAATTCTGCTAGCTCAACCTTTCCCCATCCCACCTCACCTTAAAATTCCACCCAAGCATCCATTTCTCATGCAAATATCAAATGATGAACGATGTTAGGGTATTGCTGGGTTTCACGCAGAAACATGGAACAGTTAAAGCACACTTTAGGTCAGTAAAAGCACATGTTGCTGTTGACATTTTTCTGGGATTTCAGGTTCTTCTGGAATATATTGAGCATTTCCCATACTTTCCCAAACCCTCTCCCAAATGGTCACCATTGGTGAGCAGCTGGATCAATCTTCTGCAAACTACAGTGAGTGTCTGCCAACAAAGACCTCTGCAAGCCAACCAAAGTCTTAGTGTACAATACAGTGGTCATCACCATGCTCCTATACTGCTATATGTCCTGGCTGGATATCAGCAACACATAAAAGCACTAGAAAATCCAACAGCAATGCTTCCACTGCACTTCCAAATTCAATGGGAGGACTGTCAAACAAATGCTAGTGCCCTATCTGTGCCAGTTCCACAAACATTCAGGCAGAAATCCTACAAAATCGGTTTCCGTTTACAGGTCACATCCAAAGATCCAGGTCATGCTTTTTCTGCTCTCAAATGGCTAGTGTTCTACAAAAGGACAAAGAAATGCTTCAAAGACACTCAATAGATCTCCTGGAAGTTCAGCATCTATGACCTTAATGAATGGGAGGAAGGGGAGGATGCAGCTTTGTTTCCAATCGTTCAAAATAGCAATAGATTGTGACTCCAGACACACGGCAATGTGGTTGATTTTTAACTACCCTTGAGGCAATTAGGGATGGGCAATAAACACTGACCCAGCCAGTGATGCCCTCATCTCATCAATGAATTAAAAAAAAACAAAATCCTAAGAGGTCTTGACAGGGTAGATGTGGAGAGGATGCTTCTACTTGTGGATTAATCCAGAAGTAGAGGTTACTGTTTAAAAATAAGGGATCACCCATTTAAGACAGAAATGAGACAAAATACATCTGAGAAGCTCATGTGTCTTTGGAACACTCTTCCTGAAAAAGCAATGCTGCAGAACCTTTGAATTTTTTAAGGCAGAGGTGGAGAGACTCTCGTTATCTATTCCTGGTGAAAAGTTATTAGGAGTAAGCAGGATTGTGGAGTTGAAGTTACAATCAAATCAGCCATGATCTTATTAGATGATGGAGAAGACTCGAAAGGTCAAATAGCTTGCTCCTGCTCTTAACACATTCATTAGCATTTGCATAAGTCTTCATGTTGAGCGAAGCAGCAGGGTAAGAAAGAAAAGGAAGCAAACCCTGCGCTCCAGATTCAACTAATTCATGGGACACCTTGTCCTTTGATTCCAAAAGATCTGTGGGTCAAGAATCAGTTTGTTCAGTGACATGAAGGCCCATGGCAGAACTTCACAGGGCTGACAAGACGGCCCTCGAATTGTGGAACAACAGCACAGAAGAAAATTATTGAGTCTGTCACGTCTATTCTGGCTATTTGACAGTAATTCAGCTGCTCCAATTCCCCTCCTTTTCCCTGCAATATTCTGCATTCCAAAAAATTATTCAACTCCCTTTTGATAACCATGGTTGAATATCTCTCACTCAGGCAGGTGCAAACTATTTGCCACAGTAAAAAATGATTCTTTTCTTGTCACTTCTGGTTCTTTTGCCAACCAATTTAAAATCAACAGCCCCTGATTCTTGAGAACTCCCACCAATGCAACCAGTTACTTCCTATCTACTCGGTACAGACCTCCATCAAACTACCTCTCAGTAATCTCGTTCCTAGGGACAACAGTCCCAGCAGCTCACTCCCTAGGGATGTGCAGACCTTGCAAGCCGCTGGGTAGTGTGTCACAGTATTTATCATCTTCAAAGCAAGCCACAAATCATTAGTGAAATTCACAAAAAAATCTTGTCCAACATTTCCCAAATGAGTTCTGCCTAAACCCTACAGGTAGTGGGTCACTCAACTAAACACTGTGCAATTTAGAACATTCACCATCGTACAGGGATACCATGGACAACCACCCCAACCTATTTAACTCAATTTGTTGTATTAACGAGTGGAACTGGCAGAGTCAACACCTTAAATCGTCTCTCATTCGGTATTGTGAAGTAATAACACATTTCAGAAATGCATCCTCTGCTATAAAATCTGATTCTTAAAACTAGATGAAACTAGACAAAATTTCCATGCCAAATGACTTCAAAACAAATACCTATGCTTCCAAATGAGAAAAAAAACTGCCACAGTATTATTTCTTGCTCACCACAGGGAAGGTGCTGATTGTTATGGCAACCAAGTATTTGGCTCAGTTGCTTGATAGGGCATGAGCACTTGTGTACTTAGTGGAGGACTGGAGTCTAGCATTGAGGGGTGGGGGGAAGAAGAGACAGAGAGAGTGAGAGAGGGAGACACACACCAAAGACCATATCACATTTAAATAGCACCTTTTACAACCTCAGTACCTGCCAGAGAGCTTCAAAGTCAATAAAATAATGTTGTCTTTTAGTGTTGTAAACACTGGCCATGCGGTAGCATTTTCAAGCTCCCCCAGTGCAGTTTCAGGAATACTGTTGGCAAGATCAAAGTTATCCCTTATGGCATGTTTGATATTCTGATGACAACTCAAGTTGCATTGGACTCAGTGTCCCCCCTGGTTGCCACAGTGGGATTTGAACTCTGAACATCTGCGTTGCAGGCTATGCTACTGCACTGCTTCAGCTCAGACTGAATTAAATTTAGTCAAAAAATGCAAATAACTTCAGTGAACAAAACTGTGCCCGAGAAAATAAACTAGCAAAGAAGCCATAGATTTGCAGTTACCTGGGGTTGCCGGTGTTAGAAATGGTAGAGGCCCCTCTTGGAGGGAAAATAAGCCACACAGTTTGGGACCATCATTCACAGGCAGGGCAAAATCCACAGCCTCCAGAGTTTACTGAAAACAGAAAAACAGATCAGTATTGTGCTGGGAGGGACCAGTAATTTGGACAGCCCTTTAGAGTTTCCACATAAGCAAATGGAGTTTGGAATTCAGCAACACAGTCAGCTGCAACTGACAGCACACACCTCTGCTTTTGCCATCTCGACTTACATTCACCCAGCTCCAGTAAAGGCCAGCCTGCAAAGCTGTACCATAGACTTTGATCTGATCTATAAGTGACTGCTGCCAGACCATTTGAGAGTACAGACTGCATTTAACTATCCATAAATGCAGTGTTAATGAACCAGCTTTGTGGAAACAGAGCCATTAGGGAGGGGAGGAGGTGTCACAGAAGGGCGAGGGGAAGGGTGACAAGTTAGGAGGAGGGATTGCGGAAGGAAGGGCAGGAGCAAGAGGCAAAGAATGTCAAGTGAAGGAAAGGGGTGACAGGGAGGACAAGAAGGAGGCAAAAGGGATCAAAGAAGGGGGCAAAACAGACGGAGGGACACAGTAGGACAAGGGAGGGGCTCAGAGCGAAAGACAGCTGCGAGAATTCAAGACAGAGCATCATCACCCTTTTATTTTCATGTCAATTTCAGCAACCTTTCCCTAAGCTCAGCCAAGCATGGCAGTAGCTAACAGACATACCCTTTAGGGCTGGGATCAAAAGTGACAGGAGAAACAGCTCTGATAATATTGAAGAAAAATAGAAAAATTCTGTGCCTGTAAGCAACGATACTTGATTGCTGCTTGCCCAAGAGTACAGTAGCACAACAAAATCCTAAATCTATGCTCTGTTCCATTAGGAGCAGGGTCACATTTTAACTGAATAAAAGCCAAAAGAACTGCGGATACTGTAAATCAGGAACAAAAACAAAGTTGCCGGAAAACCTCAGCAGGTCTGGCAGCATCTGTGAAGGAGAAAACAGAGTTAATGTTTCGGGTCCAGTGACCCTTCCTCAGAACTGATGGTGGCTGGGAAAACGTCAGTTATGTGCAGAAAATAGGGAGGTGGGTGGGGTAGGGAGTAAACGATAGGATAGAGCCCAAAGAGAGAGAAAGACAGTTGGACAGACAAAGGAGTTGCTAACGATCAGGCTGGGAGGGTGAATAGTTGTTAATGGGGACTGTTAGTGACTAACAACAGGGGGTGTGTAGTGGCAGGCTATGTGGGGGGCTAGGACATGGGAGAGTTTAGGCCCTAAAATTATTGAACTCAATATTGAGTTCGGAGGGCTGTAGGGTCCCCAAGCGGAAAATGAGGTGTTGTTCCTCCAGCTTGCGCTGGGCTTCACTGGAACACTGTAGCAAGCTGGAGGCAGAGATGTTGGCCAGGGAGCAAGGTGGTGCATTGAAGTGGCAGGCAACAGGTAGTTCAGGGTCTTTTTTGCGAGCAGAACGTAGATGTTCTGCGAAGCAGTTGCCATGTCTACGCTTCGTTTCCCCAATGTAGAGGAGACCACATTGTGAGCAGCGAATGCAGTAGACTAGATTTGAGTGTTGTTGAACATAAGAACGTAAGAACTAGGAGCAGGAGTAGGAGTAGGCCGTCTGGCCCTTCGAGCCTGCTCCGCCATTCAATAAGATCATGGCTGATCCTTTCGTGGACTCAGATCCACTTATCCGCGTTCTCACCGTATCCCTTAATTCCTTTATTGTTCAAAAAAAATCGACCTTTTTTTTTAAAAGCATCTACTGAAGTAGCGTCAACTATTTCACTGGGCAAGGAATTCCATAGATTAATAACCCTCTGGGTGAAGAAATTCCTTCTCAGTTCAGTCCTAAATCTGCTCCCTCTGATCTTGAGGCTATGCCCTCTTGTCCTAGCTTCACCTGCCAATGGAAACATCCTCTCTACTTCTATCTTATCTATTCCCTTCATAATTTTATATGTTTCTATAAGATCCCCCCCTCAATCTTCTGAATTCCAATGAATATAATCCCAATCTACTCAGTCTCTCCTCATAAGCCAACCCTCTCAACTCCGGAATCAACCTAGTGAACCTCCTTTGCACCCCCTCCAGTGCCAGTACATCCTTTCTCAAGTAAGGAGACCAAAACTGCACACAGTACTCCAGGTCTGGCCTCACCAGCACCTTGTACGGCTGCAACATAACCTCTCTGCTTTTTATTTCAATCCCTTTAGCAATGAAGGGCAAAATTCCATTTGCCTTCCTAATTACTTGTTGTACCTGCAGACCTACCTTCTGTGATTCATGCACAAGGACACCCAGGTCCCTCTGCATAGCAGCATGCTGCAACTTTTTACCATTCAAGTAATAATCCTTTTTACTATTACTCCTACCAAAATGTATGACTTCACATTTATTTACATTGTATTCCATCTGCCAGACCTTTGCCCACTCACTCAATGTATCTATGTTCCTCTGCAAAGTTTCACAGTCCTCTGCACACTTTGCTCCGCCAATCATCTTAGTGTCATCTGCAAACTTTGACACCCTACACGTGGTCCCCAACTCCAAATCATCTATATAAATTGTAAATAATTGCGGTCCCAACACCGATCCCTGAGGCACACCACTAGTCACTGACTGCCAGCTAGAATAGCACTCATTTATCCCCACTCTTTGCTTCCTGTTAGTCAACCAATCCTCTATCCATGCTAATACTTTACCCTTAATGCCATGCATCCTTATCTTATGCAGTAGCCTCTTGTGCGGCACCTTGTCAAAGGCCTTTTGGAAGTCTAGGTACACCACATCCACTGGGTCCCCATTGTCCACCTCGCTCGTAATGTCTTCATAGAATTCCAAAAGATTTGTCAAGCATGACCTGCTCTTCATGAACCCATGCTGCGTCTGCCCAACGGGACAATTTCTATCAAGATGCCTTGCTATTTCTTCCTTGATAATAGACTCAAGCATCTTCCCCACTACAGAGGTTAAGCTAACAGGTCTATAATTCCCCATCTTTTGTCTACTTCCCTTTTTAAACAGTGGCGTCACATTTGCTGTTTTCCAATCTGCTAGGACTTCCCCAGAGTCCAGCGAATTTTGGAAAATTACCACCAGTGCACCTGCTATTTCTCCCACCATCTCTTTTAGTACCCTGGGATGCATTTCATCAGGGCCAGGAGACTTATCAATCCTTAGCCCCATTAGCTTGCCCAACACTACCTCATCGGTAATTATGATTGTTTCCAGGTCCTCACCTACCTTCGTCTCTTTGTCAATTACTGGCATGTTATTAGTGTCCTCCACTGTGAAGACCGATACAAAATACGTGTTCAATGCCTCGGCCATTTCATCATATCCCACAACTAAATTCCCCTTCTCATGCTGTAAAGGTCCAACGTTTACTTTAGCCACTCTTTTTCGTTTTATATATTTATAGAAACTTTTGCTACCTGTCTTTATATTCTGTGCTAGTTTTTTCTCATGTTCTATCTTACTTTTCCTTATAGCTCTTTTTGTGGCTTTCTGTTGACCTTTAAAGTTTTCCCAATCTTCTAGTTTCATGCTGTTTTTGGCCAAATTGTATGCCTTCTCTTTCAATTTGACAGCCTCCCTTATTTCTTTAGACACCCATGGCAGATTACCCCTTTTCTTACAGTCCTTCTTTTTCATTGGAATATACTTTTGCTGAGCACTTTGAAAGATTGCTTTGAAAGTCCTCCACTGCTCGTCAACTGTCCCACCATAAAATCTTTGTTTCCAGTTTACTTTAGCCAAGTCCTCCCTCATTCTATTGTAGTTTCCCTTGTTCAAGCACAGAACCCTGGTATTGGATTTTATCTTCACACTCTCCATCTGTATTCTAAATTCAACCATACTGTGATCACTCCTTCCAAGTGGCACTAATATCCATTACAAACCCACCGACTCCCACAGCTACCTGGACTATACATCCTCACACCCCACTTCCTGTAAAGACTCCGTCCCATTCTCTCAGTTCCTCCATCTCCGTCGCATATCAACTGACGTTTTCCCAGCCACCATCAGTTCTGAGGAAGGGTCACCGGACCCGAAACATTAACTCTGTTTTCTCCTCCACAGATGCTGCCAGACCTGCTGAGCTTTTCCAGCAACTTTGTTTTTGTTCACATTTTAACTGCTCCAAAGGCTGCTCACAAACAAATCACCAGATGTGCTAAACTGTCACAGTAACAGTGCTATCAGGGGTTAAGGCTTATGTTGGGCAGATGACCAATAATAGGTCAAACATCACAATTTTATGGTATCTTTACCGCTTTCCCAACAGCTCAGTACCAGTATAAATTAAAAATATTTCAATCTGAACAATTGAGGGTCCAGAGGGATGGGCTAGACGACCAGGCTATATGATTTATCACAAAATGACATAGGCAGATTTATATAATCGTTTACCCTGCCATATTTTCCTTGGAATGACGCGCACACACACACACAAACAAATCAATCACTTCACAACCTGACCTCATGCTTTACGCTATTCACATCTTGGTGTTGGTGCACAAATGAGACAAGTTATTTTTTTTAAAAATTAAGTCTTAAAGACCTTGCATCAAAGCTACCATTTCACTAAATATTCATTGCTAATTACACCTCCTCCACACATCAATTCACACGGACAGTTGGTATCATCAGCACGATAATGGATTTCAGCAAAGCAGATTGTGAGGGTTCTTTTGAATATCACTCAAGAGTGGATGATGCTGGTAAGCAATATTTATTGCTTCACACCAGATGATGGCTCATACAGCCGACTGGCTCACTAGAACACCAGAAGGCATGCAGAGCCAATTGACTCCAGTTGATCCCTGGAGTCTGCCATAGCTCACTGAGCAGCCCCCTCACCTCCGACTCAGAGGTCATGGGTTCAAATCCCCAGAATCCAGCACAAAAATTTAGTTCAACACCTCTAAAATGCAGTATTGTGGGAGTTGTGCAATGTCACAGAAACTGTATCTCACATCTACTTAATCAAGGATCCACTTGCTCCCTCAGATGAATGTAAAACAACCCACAACCCTAGGAGCCCATCAATTCTGCTCCACCGTTAAACCTCTGGATGGT